ATATCAAGAAGTTTTTTCCTCACCTCAATACCTCGGCTTCCACCTTAAGCTTTTTCTCGGTATCTTCAACATTAGCCAAGTATCCAATACAATCACTTTTCACCATCATTCATGTTTTTATTACCGAAATGGTGGAAATTGACTTTACTTTACTATCGACCTAAAATTCAAATGATTGTTCATTGGGTGGTTGAAAAGTCATACCTTTTTTCTAATACAATCAATTATAGCATCATACTTTGGCAAACAATTCATCTCTAAAATTACATCAAAATCAAGTATACTCAAAACCACTAAATCAATTCTCAAAATATTACCATCCATTAACAAATGGTAATTCTTAATTATATCTCTTGATTCCATCACCTTCCCCAAAGGCAGAGTCACCTCTATACATCGATTCAAGCAAATCGATTTAATCCCTAATTTTCTTAATAATGATCTAGATAGGAATGAATGTGTGGTACCGGAATCAACTCATGTATATGTAAAAAAGTCTAAAGATAAGTACATTATCGTACATGAATATTGCATTCTCTTCAAGCAACTTACTCTTATGTCATGGTATACACCCTTCTAACTATTTTCTATCTAGGCTCTTATTTCTTTGGGCTCTTATTTACAATAAGATCTATCCGGACACTTATGTACAACATGACCTTTCTATTTGCACCAAAAATAGGTGTCAATACCTTGTAAGCACTCTCCGAAATGTCTTATTCCATACTTAGTGCAAATTGGACCCTCTTATGTTCTCACCGTTGGGGTCTCTTTTGTGATCTTAGCACTTTTTATATTACTTGATCCCGGTCTTGCAAACTGATTTCTCATACCCTCTTATCCTATAGGCATAGTCAAACTTACAACCCCGCTCAAACCTCTTTACATACTCAACTATTAACAAATTTGTTTGTTTCAACTGTATAAACTCTTGAAATTTCTTGGATGTTACATCATCGGTGAAGCATTTACCATAGAACACCTCCGTGAAGTATGCCCATGTGAGGTTGGGTACATCCAAAGGCACTCTAGCTACATCCTACTTTGTCCTTGCATTTTGCACCATCATAAATATAGCATAAGAAACTCTTTCAACATCATTCAATTCCAAATGTTCAAATATGACCTCCAAGGACTTAACCTATTCATCAACAACTAGCAAATTTTTCCTACCATTGAACTCCCTTAGATTCATCTTCTTAAACCACTCAACAACATCAAATCTTTGATGTGAAGCTCTATGTGGTTGTTATTGCTATAAAGCTAATATTGTTCTCATCCGTTCATCATGTCTTTCATGTTGTTCTCATATCATAATCTATTGTTATTGCAATAAACCCATCATCTCGCTATCTTATCGTCCCATCGGTCCGATCTCCCTATCTACCTATATTAACATTCCTTCTTAGTAGCATTCTAATCCAAAACTACAACCACAAACCTCGCTCGTTTATGAATTTCATGTATTGACATTCATACATTATTGATTCACTAAGTCTAAGCATAATTCTAACATGAGTAGTAAATTTTTTTAAAAATAATCAACATCATTAAGGATCATTTAAATCAAATAATTCACATAAAATAAAATAAATAAGAATAATTCACATAACATAAAATAAACAAGATTAATTGACATAAGGTAATGTAAACACTTATGCGTTGATGATGCTTCCGAGACTTGAACTCTTGTGTACTATCTAAGTCTATAAATCCAACTAAACCTTAGTTCTAATACCACTCGGTAGCTTCCTAACACCCAAACTTATATAAGATGGCATTATAAGCGAGGAGGATGCTACACAAAATACATAGCTCAATTCAAAGTAAAAGTTAATATCCTAACCTATAATTAAATCTAACTCCAATAAAATCCACATATAACAACTAAAGTTCTAACATTTCATCATAAAAATTATAACACGATATATTTGATGTGAAATCTTAAATTCTTAAAACATGTGTCATAACTAAATATTTTTACTAAAATATAAAACTATATAAATATTAGAACTTCAAACATAAATATTAAAATCAAGTAGGCAACTAGTAAATGATCATAAAGTTAAATACGGAATAAACTTCAAGTTACCACTTAAACCTAACAACCGATTAGCCAAAAGGACAAAAGTCTAATCCTTACAAAAGAGTATGTTTAATGTGTACTAGCTACCTTTTTGATGTCGAAGGACTTCATGAGCCAAAATCTCCTCACCTACACCATAAGACATAAATGTGACCTAACGCCTAATAAACATGGTCATACATAACATTTATAAACTTTTATAATTATGTGAATACACTTTTTTTTATAGGTAAAACAATTTTTTTATCAAATTATGCCATAATACACGTGATGTTAGTAAGGCCATTATCGATTTTCCTACCAAAACATTGTTTATTGAAACATATACCACTCGGTAGGTCATTATGCTAGAGTCATGTAGTACAATATATTTTAAAGACACCCCTTGATTAATAAAGATTTTTTTTATATCCATATTGAATACATCTATTTCTTCAATCCATTTACATTGATGATACAAATTGAAAATGACTATGTTTATAACGTGAATTGAAATAACACTCGGCGATGAAATGAAATCTCTAATCCTAAAACCTAATCTAGTTGTTAAAGAGGCATGGCCAAAGCGCTTCAAAGTCGTCCGGACCTTGTATGTTATCCGAGCATTTGTGAATGTTGAGGGCTCGTCGGAGGTTATGGTTGAACCGAAGTCGGAGCTTGAACTCGGATGTTGTATGGATACACGGTTGATTCATGTATCTCCGAAACATGGATGAATAGGGGTTCTTCAATTCCTCCCGGTAGACGCTAGTATGGAGCGAGATGTTGTCCAAGTAATTCCCCGAGTGTGTGCCCCATGGAGTGACAGGTTGATGTGGACGTAGGTTGTGCATCCGCAGTCATGATCGATCCTCTCGTCGTCATGTGACCCTCCGTTGTGGTGGGATTATCTTCCGAGGGTCGTGCTTCCTAGACGAAGAGGAAAGTATCATCAAGGAATACGAATGTTGCATTTGCAAGTGTCCAAGTGCTTGAGAGATCGATTGGTCTCCTTGTCTAAATAGTCGCGGTAGGATGAGTCTTGGCCGGGATTACAAAGGAAGATAGTGGGAATGTCACCTTTTATTTGGACTCGGTTTTTCATACTTAGTATTGGATTACCGGTTTCATTGGGCCCCAAAGAATTCCCTCCAATGCTTTAGATAATGGGGATTAACGTCATCAATGACGTTATACCATGCATTATTAGAAAAAACCTTAGGACTTAGATCCAGGTGTCCACATAAATAATTATTTGGACCTAGAGATTTTGCCCAAATAGTTTTTTCTATTCTAGAAAGACCTTCCATAATTATTGATTTGGGTCTATGTGGTCGCGTAGCAGGATGGACAACATTAACACACGCCCATTCCTCTAACTCATCAGGAACAAAAAAGAATTTATCGAGAATGGGGATTCATACACCTCGTTCGACGTCCGAAATATCCTCTCTAGGTTTGATCGGATGTTGTGATGTTGGAGGATGAAGGACTTTGGATCTCCAGCTCTAATGATTGCAATTGCATCATCGATCGATGATGCATTGCATACGTTGTGGTAGATGTCATCTTTGGATTGGCTTCTACTCCCAACTCGCAATGAATTCTCCGGATTCACAATAATCGTCGTCTTTGGAGATGTAAACCCGGACGGCGTTGACGTCTCCGGCTAGTTGGATGTTAGGGTGATAAGAGGTACTCCTACTAGGGTGAAGAATGTCAAAAAATCTCTCATCCTTGATGTTGGACTTTTCGATGAATTGGATAAGGTAGTGGAGATGGTAGGATCCATCGGAGTGTTGTTCTCTGGCTACCCTAATGTATTCCGGATGAATAATGTTGTAATTCAATGTTTATAGTTGGTGTATAACATTCCGTTTTTCGAATGGACATTTGGGATAAGTAAGGAAAATGTATTTTGCTTGAAGTTGGAATGACTTTGGTGCCCTTGGCATTGTTATTGAAATAAAAAGGGTTTAAGGACTCGCTTGAATAGAGCTAGGACTCCAACAACTTATGGCCTTGTTAGTAGAGTCCCGGAGTCCAATTTATAGCTTGTAAGAGCCACTGGGGATGATGACACGTGAATGGTTGAGGCGCTCCTGTTAATATTACCGGGAGCATCGAAAGTTTGCATTCTCGCCCATCGTAATTGGATAAAAAGTGTATAAAGTGCTGATTGGTGGATAGGACAAATTGTTAGTGGATTGACGACCCCACATGTATTGAGGACATGACATATGACCAATAGAACTCGTTGTACAATGGTTAGTTAGCCGACGTCTTTGTCGGCTAAAGAGTTTATATGTGGCCTTAGGGCTCCATTTGTACAATATAGCATTCAAATTACCATGTTTACAATATTAAAAATATTCATACCTCAAGTCATCGGGTTTCGGAATCCATATTATCCGATCCACTAGATCAATGGCCTTGAAGAAGAGAGAGAGAATCTTTCATGCTCTTCAGCAATATCATAAAGAGGTTGAAGTACCGATGGAGACTTCGATACGTACGGTCTCGACCCGGAGGAAGAGAGCGTATGCCAGCAAGAGGAAGCAACGGGTCCGAGAGATCCAAGTATAGCCTTTGGGCCTCCAATGGGATCTCTAGGTCCATATAATTTTTTATGTGGACACCTGGATCTAAGTCCGAGGGTTTTTTCTAATAATGTATGGTATAACATCATTGATGACGTTAATCCTCACTATCTAAAGCATTGGAAGGAATTTTTTAAGGCCCAACGGAACCGGCAATCCAATACAAAGTATGGCAAACCAGTCCAAATAAAAAGTGACATTCACATTATCTTCCTTTGCAATCCCGGCCAAGACTCATCCTACCGTGACTATTTAGACAAAGAGACCAATCAGTCTCTCAAGCACTCGGACACTTGTAAATGCAACATTCGTATTCCTTAATGACACTCTCCTCTTCATCCAGGAAGCACGACCCTCGGAAGATAATCCCACCATAATGGAGGGTCACATGACGATAGAGGATCGATCATGATTATGGATGCACGACCTACGTCCACATCAACCGTCACTATATGGGACACACGCACTGGAATTACTTGGACGAGCATCTCGCTCCACACCGACATCTACTAGGAGGAATTAAAGAACTCCCTATTCATCCGTGTTTTAGAGATACACGAATCAACCATGTATCCATACAACATCCGAGTTCAAGCTCCAACTCGGTTCAACCACAACCTCTAACGAGCCCTTAACATTCACAAATGCTCGGATAACATACAAGGTCCGGATGACCTTGAAGTGCTTTGGCCGAGCCTCTTTAACAACTAGATTAGGTTTTAGGATTATAGATTTCATCTCATCGGCGAGTGTTATTTCAATTCACATTATAAACATGGTCGTTTTCAATTTATATCATCAATGTAAATGGATTGAAGAAATAGATGTACTCAATATGGACATAAAGCAAAATCTTTATTAATCAAGGGGTGTCTTTGAAATATATTGTACTACATGACTCTAGCATACAAGATCTCCTTGCCAATACAACAAAATACAATGCACCCTTCTCCATATCTCCTATTTGACTACCCGTAGTGTCCTTGAAATCTGTAGGACACCCGACATTCTTAATCATCTTCCCGATGACCTTATCATAATTACCGGGAAGACTGAATTTGGTGTAATTTCCGGGAGAAACATTATCATCGTTAACTCGTACATGAAAAACAACCCATCCAAAACCTACAAACAACAAACCTATGTTTGTTGTCGGGATGGATAAAACCTATCCTAAAATCACTAGCTTCGGTAGGAATGAAAAATATATCACGCAACGTTGGGATGTTAGCCCCAGGATTGGCATCGTAAATGATTGCCATCATCTAAGGAACACTTACACCGAAACCTCACGCACCATCTCCCGTACGGACAGTCGAATACAAAGCATTATACGATTAACATACGTATGGGAACCGTTACGATTACCCATACCTGCACCCCGACCAAATGTGTTCATCAAAATCACATGGTCGGTTGTAGGAACCGTATACCCATTAGAGGCCTAAAGGCTATACTTGGATCTCTGGGCCCGTTGCTTCCTCTTGTTGGCATACGTTCTCTTCCTCCGGGTCGAGACCGTCCGTATTGGAGTCTCCATCGGGTAACTCCAACCTTCTTTCGACATTGTCGAAGAGCATGGAAGATTCTCTCCCTCTCTTTTTCAAGGCCATTGATCCGGAGGATCGGATAATATGGATTCCGAAACCCGATGACTTGACACGTCAATATTTTTAATATTATAAACGGGATAATTCCGAATGCCATATTGTACAAATAGAGCCACTAAGGCCACATATAAACTCCTTAGCCGACAAGGACATCGGCTAACTAACCGTTGTACAACGAGTTCTATTGGTCACATGTCATGTCTTCGGTATATGTGGGGTCATCAATCTACTAATATTTTATCCTATCCATCAATCACCATTTATACACTTTTTATCCAATTACGGTGGGCGGGAATGCAAACTTTCGACGCTCCCGGTAATATTAACAAGAGTGCCTTAACCATTCACGTGTCATCATCCCTCGGGGTTCTCACAAGCTATAAATGAGACTCCAGGACTCCACGAACATGGCCATAAGTTGTTGGAGTCCTAGCTCTATTTAAGCAGAGTCCTCAAATCCTTTTTGTTTCAATAACAATGCCGAGTGGCACCAAAGTCATTCCGACTTCAAGTAAAACACATTTTCCTTACTTATCCCAAATGTCCATTAGAAAAACAAAATGTTATACACCAACTACAAACGTTAAATTACAACATTGTCCGTCCAAAATACATCGGGGTAGCCGAGAGAACAATACTCTAATGGATCCTACCATCTCCACTCGCCTTATCCAATTCACCGAAAAGTCCAACATCAAGGATGAGAGATTTTTCGACATTTCTCACCCCATCAAGAGTACCTCTTATCACCCTAACATCCAACTAGCTAGAGACGCCAACGCTATCCAGGTTTACATCTCCAAAGATGGTGATTATTGTGAATCCGAAGAATTCACTACAGTTGGGAGTAGAAGCCAATCCAAAGATGACGTCTACCACAACGCATGCCATCATTAACCGATGATGCAATTGCAATCATTAGAGTTGGAGATCCAAAGTACTTCATCCTCCAACATCACAACATCCAATTAAACCCGGAGAGGATATTTCGGACGCTTGACGAGTTGTATGAATCCTCATTCTCGGTAAATTCTTTTTCTATTCCCGATGAGTTAGAGGAATGGGCATGTGTTGATGTTGTCCATTCCGTTGCATTATCACTTCTCCTACCAATACCATTTTATCAAAACCATATGATATTAGTAGGGCCATTATCGATTCTCCTACCAATATTTTTTATAAAACCATATGGTATTAATAGGGCTATTATTGATTCTTCTATCAATATCCCGTACTTTTATCAATACACTTTGTCTTAAAATCAAAACTCTTTGCCAAAACATATGTCTTTGATGCATTACATGACCTTAATGCATTTCCTAAACATATAAATCAATGCTTATAATGCAAATACACATAAAAAGATGCCATAGACTTATACCACATATATATTCCATCACATACTCTTTTAGTCACATAATCATATTCACATAAATAACACAATTAAACATATATAGTCATTATGGTGAGTTGAAAAATGCTTACCTTAGCTCTTTAGCAATTATCAATAATCATATTCCTCAAGAAATCAATTCCTATTATATAAAAACATCACAAATAAACTTTCATATCAATTAATAAACTCATAAAAGTGTCATCTTCCATCAATTAACCATAAAATTTGAAAATCACATATCACTAATCATCATCTTCAACATTTCCAAAATACATAATCAACATATATCAATATTTTGGCCTAAGCTAAACCTTACATATCCTTTAATTACAAAACCTCAAACATTCCATACAACATTCAATATGTTCGATTAATAAAATCCAACTAATTAAACTTCAAATTAACTTCGCAAATCACTTATCCATAACAAATATTCATCATCTAATAAATTAAAATGCTTAATCAACTTTTTTCAAAAATGGGTTTCAAATCCTAACATCCATCAATACAAGCTTCAAAGATAATGCATCACAATTCAACCTCAAAATCATCAAATACCATCCAAAAATACCTCAAATAACTAAGAGCCATAGAAGAAATTTTACATTTTCTTATGGGTTCAAAATTTCAACTTAGAATCTCCAACTCTCCAAGCTCCATTCTTACTTAATTTCAACTTTTATCATCAAAAACTAACATAATCCGATGTTCTTTGTTGGTGAAATGGGTTAGAAATTATGGACATGAAGTAAGAGGGTTATGGTTTGAGAGAGGAAGGAGAAGAGAATAAGAAAATGGGTAATCCCACTTTTTCCATCCTTTTAAAACAAAAGCATTCTCCTCTCCCCACCCCCTTCCAAATCTTAAAACTCAATTTTACACTTCCATTCAAGTGTCACAATTTCTATTACTATGATCTATCTTTCTTAATAAATTTAATCAATCTTAACTAACTCCAAATACCTCATTTTTAGCTTAATCTTAAAACACATTAACTCTAAAACACCACAATTAAACACACACGCACACACACATATCAACCACATATACATGCATTCATCTCGCATGTATAATATGAAATAAAACATAGCAAAATAAAATTTCAAGCGTTATAATTATTATTAATTATTAATAGTTTTTTTTATTCAGGAAAATTAATTATTTTATACTCATCATAATTTTATGATTTTTTAATTTTTTACGACCTATTTGCAACTGATATATATATATATATATATATATATATATATATATAGGACACATTAATTTTGTACCTCAACTACTAATTAGTGTTTTTATTTCCCTAATTAGTTGGGCCATGATAGCCACCTTGGCCCTAAAATCACCTAATCCCATAAACTAATCCCATAAAGAGAGAGAACAAGCCCTTGGGTTTTGAGTCGTTAAAATTGGACCCGACATCAATAAGCCCTTCTCATATTTTGTTTCGATACAAAACCACCAATTCAATTTGATTGACCGCAAAAAACACAAACCCTCTAAACCCTTGACACTCTCAAATTTTCTTCCTCCTTCGTCATGGCCGTAAGCTCTCTCTGCTTTCTGTTTCTTTTGCTCTTGTTTGTGCGTAGTGTGACGTGTGTTGTTAATAGTTGATGGTAGCTATATTTTCATGTTTGCAGACTGTACCAGTTAACCCTAAGCCTTTTTTGAACAATTTGACTGGAAAGACTGTTATTGTCAAACTTAAATGGGGAATGGAATACAAAGGTAAAAGCTTTGTTCCTCTTTGTAGCTTCCCATTTAGATTTTACGTACTCTTTTTGTGCTTATGCCTTTGATTGGTTGGCCTTTCAGGTTTTCTTGCTTCTGTTGATTCATACATGAACCTCCAGGTACTGACTTTAGTTTACAAGTTTCGTATTTTATTTCTAAACATCCATGGTTTTTCTTTTTCGTAAAATTAAATTTTATTCTTTATGTTAAAGTTATTTTGGGTTGTTGTAATGTTTTTGCAATTTCAGATTTTCTTTTTTGGTGCACACTAGTATGTTACTAAGCTTTTTACAATTAATGGAATGTGATTTGCAGCTGGGAAATACTGAAGAGTATATCGATGGACAGTTCACTGGAAATTTGGGAGAGATTTTGATCAGGTAAACATAAACCAAGAGTTTGATTCATAAGTTTATATGTTATTGAGATATGTGTTTTTTGGCGTGAAAACTAAGAGTATAAAGCATGGGTTCAAACTTCAGAGCTCCGTTAATTTTTCTAGGACAATGGGCACAAGTAAAGCTCTTTGTTGTATCTTAAAAAGTTTCTTTGTGTTTCTACCTTTTCTGAAAAAGTTGGATATTTGCTTTTCTGGTAAGAGGTTTATAATTGTGTCGCCTGCTTGATGATTAATATCAGCTGTGTTAAGCTAAGCTTGTGCATTTAGCATTCATCTAAGAACTAGAATAATAGAGTAGTAACTTGCTTTAAAAGTTGGCAAAGGGATAAGGTTCAACTCCATTGCTGATTATTGGGGACTTAGAAAATTAGTTCTGCTAACATTAACGTGCACAGTAACTTTGTAAACTCACTTGCACACTATTATGAGAGTACTGTTTCTTTACTGAAATGATTGACCGACCTCTTGTCTATAACATGAAGTACAGTGAAAAGTTAGAATTTATACCCATGAGGTGTGAATGTTGGTATTATAACTAGAAGAGGGAAATACTCTTAAGTTAAAGTTTAGCATGAGATTAAAGCTGTTAAGAAAAACGGTTGAGGATGAGATATTAGCATGATCAGTCCTTGTGAAAGCTAGTACTTATCACTTATGAGGAATAGAATAATGACAATAAATAAAAGCGAGAAATTCTTTGAAGTTAAAGCTATCCATGACACTAAGATTATCAAGAATAAAGATTGAGTGTGTATGGTAAATAGCATTATCTGTCCTTGAGGGATCCTAGAACTTGTTCTTGTGGTAATTTGTGCCAAGAACTTGTCAAAACTCTTTCAAGGACGCTTAGATATTTGAGGTTTCTATTTTTCAAGTTTTTTGTGTGTTTAAATAGACATGATGAATGTTATCTATGTATCACTGTGTATTTGGAGTGTGGCATCTATGTCTGGATTTTTTTCATTTTAAAGTAGTGTTGGGAACTTTATGAGGGGCAGCAAGACAGGATTTGGCTGCGAGATAGCTATATGGTAACACATGTTCCCAGATTAAAATGTTAGCTAAATTTTTTTGTGCAACTAGGGACAAAGGGGTTACAATTTTGGTACTGGGATTAGAAGCAATGGCTGTGAGATGTCTTCCTTAGGTATTAGTCACATTGCAATGAACTAACCAATTTTCTATGAAGACTAGGTTAACAGTAAATGAGAGTAGCTTTCTCTCCTAAAAATGTAGCTACTTGTGTCACTGAAGAATAATTAGTAACTCCAGCAGTTTTTTTCTTTTCTTGTACCACTGGTTGAATCATAAAGCTGTGTCTTGTATTGTGTTTTGAAGTATTTTTATCCTAAAATCTCCTTTCAACCCCATTGGACACCTGAGTTCCAGACCCACGAAATCCTTCGAAGTTTTTTTTTTTTTTTTTTTCAAGTGTAAAGCTCCAAATGAAACCTTTTGTTGGTTCTTCCTGCTGTTACTTTATGAAAGACAATAACAATTTTCATAAATTGTGCTAATATTTGTGTGTTGATGATTAGATTACTACTTTTGTTGTTTTGTCATTTAAATCAGTTTTACTTAAGGCTTTCGGCTGCATATGTTACCTTACACTTGTCCCTGCCTCAACTGTACCTAGCACCTAGAGAAAGCTAATATCACTACGAATGGACCTTAAGATGAAATATATTTAGTTTCAAACGTTAGAGGTTATCTGATACCTCTTCTGTTTTATGCTATGTGGTTAGGGACCCGGAAGTTTTCAAAGTTTCAGTGTCTTTTGAAACATGGAAATTATAGTAAATATCTTTACCAAAATCTCGAGGCAGTGGGAGAAATATTGATTGATTTAGATGCACGGATCCAATAGAAAGCTGGGAATAGAAGCTGAAGTAGTCTCATAAAATAAAATAAAATAAAAAATAAAATGAGAGAGAGAGAGAGAGAGAGGCTTAAGCTTAATATGGTTCTTAATGATTTGACCTTTTACTTAATTGTATATAAAACTCATATTTGTTATGCAACATCATGTAGGTATGGTATACTAAACTCAGAACTGGTTATTTTTTGTTAGGTCATGGTCTCAAATACGTTGGAAGTTCAAGCATGCTATGGTTGTTTTGTGGTGTTATAACTTAAAGAAATATCTTCAATGTCCAATGAGATCTACCAATTTACGAACTCCTTTTTTTGTTTCCACATTTCATATTTCTACATTTATGAGCAAAAGCTGAAATTACTTTGGATTCCTTTGAATTGGTTTCAAAAAAGCATTAAGGTGGAACCTAGGCATAAGATGTAGATTTTGTAAAGTCTTGTTATTTGAGGGTTGTGTGGACGTGGAAGTGGATTTTTTATTTTTTATTTTTATTTTTTTAGGATGGTAATAGGCATAGGTTAACTACTACTCTGGAAGATTTATGCAATTTAATACCTGCATAAAGCATTTAAATATTGTTAAAAGATGTAGATGAAGCATACATTTTTCTCTATATTGAAAATGTCTACTCTAAACAGGCATCCTTCTGTATATTACATATATGCATCACTGCATATTTGCATTTGTTGTTCTCATAAAGGTTATGGGTTAGAAGTGTAGATTGAGTTGCAGAAACCAATAATCAATGAAGCAAAAGCGAGTTTCAGACAATGCTTTATGGCCACAAACAAAATAGTGCATTAAATTGGTTTCTATCATGCCTTTTTATATGCTACTAATGTATGTTGCTTTTGCATGTCATTAATTCATCAAACAGAAATTGAGATGGTCATTTAGTTATTAGGACTACTAGATGTCTGCACAACCTCCAGAAATATTATATTTTAAATTGCCTTATTTTGTGCAAAAGCTTTTTAGAGTTAAGCTTCATATTCCTTCAGAAGTTTTATGGGACCTGTTTGCATGTTATCCGCAGATGTAACAATGTTCTCTACCTTCGTGGAGTTCCAGAGGATGAAGAAATAGAAGATGCAGACCGAGACTAAGAGCAGGTCTTTGATGTATGTTCAATCATTGAGTTAATAGAACTCTGCGAGTTTCGATTTTCATTTCAGATATGCTAATATTGTATTTGTATTGTAATCAGAGTTGTGTTGTTTATACCTTTGACATTAGCCATGGCATTTATTGCACCGGATTAACAAATTTATATCACTTTAATTTAACTCTTGATTACTTGCATGTGGAATTTCAGTAAACACTCTGTTTTGCACTTGTTCTAGAGCGATCCAGGGATTCTATAACCATGTCAATATATGGTCATAGACTAATCATATGATTACAGCTCATTCTTTTATGCAGTTATCTGGTTAACGAAGAGAATAAAAATAAAGTTATCTTTGTTTGAAGATTTCTTTTTCTTCCTAAACAACCTCAGAATGACTACAATGACAACAAATAGGATATAGAACTACATAATTGGAACTACAATGCCAAATTCTTGTTTATGTAATAAGTTAGTGACAGATTAATTTGGTGATTTAAGTCAGAGAATTGCTGTCGCCTCTCTCTCTCTCTCTCTCTCTCTCATTAGGATGCATCCTTTTCAGTTCACGCTAGGTGGTTTCATTCCCCCCACCCCCCCCAGTTTGAGTTCGAGTTTTATTTGCACTCTTTTGAGAAAGTTTTTCTTTTCCCCAATTTTGTCTGAGTTCAATCAAAGCAGGGTGTGGGGCTTCATGTTTGCCGTCTTTCGGTGGCTCTCCTCTATTCAACAAGGCTACATGGATGGTGACTTGGGAGATTATTGTGCTAGATCCTTGGTTCCATTCCGTTTATTATATTTCATGAGGTCAATTGTGCTGGTCTTGCAGATTCTGTTTAGATGCTTTGCTTTGTAGTGGCGCTAGCCTCTTTTACATCCCTGTCTATCTTATGCTTCTGTTTTATTGAATTGTCCCTACTCTTTTGAAAACTAGCAATTTAATGTCATTTCTAGTAAGAACGGACACCAAGTTCGCAAGTTATGTCTCTTATGGTTGCCAGTGGTGATACCTTTTTCTGTACACGATAATAATATTGATTTGATTCCATCGATACAATATAGGAAAGGAAAGCTCGGTGTCTGTTTTTACATGAGGACCAGTTTTGTGTGGTCTAGAAAGTCAGATACCGAACGGTCTGGTTTGTTTTTATCTTCGAGCCTTGTGTTCCAAAAGATAACGTACCTACCACCATTTTGTCCTCTTTTGCTACAAGACGCTGCTAATTATCAACTTAGTATTGAGCAATAGACTAGGTGCCCCAAGTCAAAGGTTGCTTGATAGCTTTGCGGCCTTAGATTTTTGGGTTCCATCATTGCGGACAACTATGTGTCTGTGTCTGTGTGTGTGACCACCCGTGTAATATTCGATTTTTGTAAAATGAGGTCCAAACTGCTCTTGAAAAATCTAAAATCCTTGTTTCTGTCTATAGTTTATAAATAAAAATCCGTGCAAGGATCTGGTTTATAGCAAACGATGCTTGACTAGAAAAAAGACGGTGACCCGCTCAGGTCTTTTTTCTGTTCATTTAAAATTTTATAACATTTAAAAAATAATTAGTGTAAGTTATTTTATAAAAAGAAATAGACTGAAGAGAAATAAGAGAGAAAATTAAGAAAAAAATTTTGATTCAAGTGAAAAAATTTCTTATTATTTTTTATTGATTCAGATGTGATTTTTTTTATATGCAATAAATTTATAAAGTGTATATATATATACTCTTTTGAGTATTATAAAATATTATATATATATATTACTCTTTTTAGTATTATAAAATATTTTACAGGATGATGATGTTGAATTTTTCTCTCTCACTTTTAAGATTTGAACTTTGGCAATTGACATTTGTGTTGTACAAAAGCTCGAACCTAAAAGCTTTTTGTATTAAAAGGGATACACTAACTGCATTTATGTTGAGATTAAAGAAAGTCTGTGATACGTAGAATTGTCACCGATCCATCTACAGAGGACTTGAATCTTTAACATCAAGCCAGGATCAGAAGTCTAAACAACCCAACTTCCATTCAATTCAGTAGCGCCTTGGAAATTAATTACGCAACCAAAAAAGTCTTTCCTACCAAAATTTATCCAATTTAAGCTGACAGGCACCTGCCCTTAAAGTTTTAAAGCTGCCCTTGCTTTTTCGTTCTAGCCAAGTCCTTCTGTTTCAACTACGGTTATGCACGTGGTTGAAATGTGGCCAGCTTGTCGACCACAAACCCTCTCTCTGCTTGCTTGTATATGAGAGAGTTTGTCAATAAGAAGTTATACTATGTAACACCGAAGACGAAAGATACGAGACATGACGGTCTTGAAATACTAGATGATGAAGGGCGATTTTGAAAAAGAATTATAAATTTTTATGGGACACAAATAGCAAAGGTGAAGAGAACTTTTTTACAAAAAAATGGAATGCATCATAAATATATTCATTTTTTCAACCGAATAAACTTATTGATTATTTCTGCAACATAAAAAACAACCACAAAATCTTTGTTTGAAATCAAATCTCACAGGATATGGGATCAACCAATGCGTATCATATATATATATATATATATATATATATATAAAGATTAATAATAATTTTAAGCAACATAGAGTACCCAAAACGTAAGCAATTAAATACGAAAACGATGGTTAAGTAAATGATTTTATAGACCGTACTGATCTCAAATTTGTCTATACATATTAGCAAAGTACAAAATCCAATATCATAACCAATAATCAAAGCTCTCAAGGAATAACCCAACAACCAGCCAAAAGCTAGAACATGTGAGATCAATGTGTAAATAGTCGTTGCCTGCCCAAAAATTCATTGGGTTACCCTTCTTCTCAACAACCACGAGTGAGCCAACTTTCATTTTGTTTTTATTAAAAAAAAAAAAAAAAAAAAAAACAACGTGTGCCCACAGTTTTTTATAGTGACTGCCCCTGGAATCCTCCGAACTCCGTCTCTACATTGATTAAATTACTTTTTTGGACAGATTTGGTGACAGAGAACTGTCCCCACCAAGAACATGTAATCGAACAGCCTGTCCTTTTCAAAAAACAAAGGATGTATGTGCTCTGATTGATAAGTTAATGTGTGGGCGTTGACAAAAATGGCAAACCAAGAAAAAATACTTGCGATAGTGTTTTGAAGGGTGGGTTAATCAGAGACTAATTCCAAGTTTTTTCGGGGTCAAAAGTGGCCTATGATTCTCTCCCTGGACTCTGGACCCAAACTTAGTTAATTAAGTAATAGAAAACTAATTAATCTGTGAAATGTGGTTCTCTTTTTGGCTAATTCAAAACCATGGAATTGATGAAATCTTGAATGGATCAAGTCTAACGAGCAAGGTTTATTTAACTCAACTGATTGTTGATCTTGAAGATCCACCTTGACCTCATCAAGCTCGAGTCAATAATGTTAACTACAGTAATTCAAAGTTCTTGTCATGTTAGTCAATTTGATTTTACCAAATTTTTATTGAGCATTTAATCTTTCTATTGAGAAGGGAAAAACAAATAGGCATCATCCATTCTTCTGTTGATCCACTCTACCATCCCTTCACCACTTCCTGTACTTGTTTTTTTTTTTTGTTAGTTTTCCAGTTTCGTATGGAAGTCTTTGGACCACCTTGAATTTTCTTGCAGTGTCAGGGTAAAGGTTAAATCGTCTTTGGCAAGGACATGTAATTATCACTCTCACAAATGGTTGCGTAAGTGATCTTGAAAGAAAGGATTCAAAATTTCTTCATTGGAGAAATTTTGTAGACTAAGTGCAGAAGCATACAATATAAGTGAAAATTTCTTGTAGTAAACTTCAAACTTGATATCTCCATTCATTCAAACACTTACACGTACAGAAAGAATATTTGTCTGTCTTTTGAACCAATTTTGTTGGTTCATGAAAGGAAAATCAAGTCATGCACTAGGGCTACTGGTAATTATCACATTACGTATATATAAATTACAAGACCAAAAAAATTCCTTCATTGGAGAAGAGTGAAAAGAATCACAATTGCTACATAATGATAGCACGTTCAGTGATCCTTTTAAGGAACACAAAGGCAGGCTTCATAAGTAGCCTCTTGCTTAAAACTTCCTTCAATCCCAGCAAGGCTTCAGTATTTATATGCGACGGAGTTAAACTTTTACATTACCCTTCGTTCTTCATGGCCGGTTCGTTACCATACATCACGCAGATACCTGCCATTCATTTGCAGACTTTTCACGAAGCTCTCAGTCTTTGAGTTGTCAAGAGATCCCTGGATCCACAACCAAGTAAACAAGGTTAATGAGATTGGGAGACAGTTGATTTAAAACCCAGCTAAAGAATCTTTCCAGGTCAGTGATTGAAGATGCAAAACAATGACACAAATATAACGAGTAAAAAATGCATATCAGTAAAAATTGAGAAAGGGCATAAAGGTGCTTCCGGACACCAAGAAAGGGACATTTATTTATGATGTGGATTCTAGCCTTCCAAGGAACTAAAGAGAGGAGTGTGCGATACTTGACCACATGCAGAACAAGAAGCAATGTCTCAATCACAGAAAAGCAATATACATGGGATCACCACAAGCTACAAACTCCCAATAAAAAGGCTAATTTTTTACCTGCTCTTGCACAATAGTGTGGAGAGTTCTGTGGACATCTTTAGCCATGCCTTTGGCATCACCACAAACATACAAATATGCGCCTTGAGAAATCATGTTCCAGATATCAGAAGCCTGTACCAGAAAGACATGCTCAACGCTTTAGTTTTAAAAAAAAAAAAAAAAGAAGTAAATAACATCACTGCATTTTATTTCACCATCAAGGATGGTTGGTGAAACAGAACCAAGTACCTTCTGCATCATCTTATGCTGCACATATTCCTTGGTAGGTCCCTCCCGTGAGAAGGCAACAACTAGTTCAGAAAGTGCACCACTTTCAACAAAATTGTTGAGCTCATCTTCATAGATAAAATCCTGCAAAGATTAAGCATGTTAAGTTAAAATTTTGAAAATTAGGGTAGGAAGAAATGCCTACACCAACAACATAGCATTCTAGAACTAATAAGAACATAACATACCATTTGACGGTTCCTGCAACCAAAGAATAATACGGAGGATCCCAGTTCTGCTCCTGCTTCTTTCTGGGCTAATCTTTCCTGAAAAGGGAAATACAAAATACACATGATCAGATTAGATACTTCAATGTGATAAGAAGGATTACTTGAAAAAAGACAACTGAACATCTGCTTTGCAAGTCCAAACCTGAAGGAAACCCCTGAAAGGGGCTAAACCAGTTCCAGGGCCAATCATAATGATGGGAACTTTAGTATCTGCTGGAAGTTTGAAGTTTGATTGCCTAACAAAAATAGGCGCCCAGCTGCAATCATGGGTTTTCTCCATTGGCACAGCATTCTGTGGAAGGAATTAAAACAAGAATGAACTTTTACGATCGTGGTGTATAAATTTATTCTATTAAAGCTCAAGAATATGTTTGCTGAGAGGAAAGATCCATCTCAAAGAATAACATCAATAAAAGAAACGAAAGCTCAACATCGGTACACATGCAAGGGGTTTGACTAACCAGCATCAAGCATTGTAAAAATGCAGATCACTAAATTTCAACCCGTGATAGTTTAAGACACCTCATATGCTCACTACACAATTCAATCTATTTTCAAGCTCTTCCCTGAGGTGTTGCTTTGACATACATACATACATACATACATACATATATATATATATATATATATATATATAACAAATAAAACAATTTTGAATTACCTTCATCCAAGTTGAGCAAACTCCTTTGTGAATACGACCTGCAGGTGTTTTCTCAAGAACCAGTGCACATGTAACATGAATTCTTGATGGAGCCATGCTGCAGAAATAATTTCACATATTAGGCACACAAGATTCCAAAGAACATAAATACATGAAATCATGGATAGAGAATGACAAAACAAAGAGGATGCAATTCGAACTTGGAAGTTCCTACCAGACAAAAGAAGGGAGCTGAACTTAATTTTCTTTTCCAAAGTAAATGATCCTTAAATACGTCAAAGTTTGTTTTTTTAAGGTAAAAGTTTGTTTTTGCCATGTAAATATGAATATCCTGACTCCAATTATAGTTCCTCTAAAAGAGTTCCCAGATACAAAATCAAAATCTTTTTTCTCCTATATGTCATTTATCCAGAAGGCAAACTTCTGTTCGCCACAATCTAGAACAACTTTTCATTCAGGAAATTGAGCAAGCTAAAAGAATTTGGGGTAGATGAAACATGATACAAATCCCTTTCCATCTTCCTTCAAGAAACTAAGATTAATTCTGAAACTTTTCCAGAAAAAGAAGAAAAAGTATTCACCTTGGAGAGGATGAAATAGAATAGTATCTAGGCTGCAAACGCGGGGCAACTGAAGCAAAGAAGACGCCAAGTGGGGGCTTGGCTGATGGAAATTCAGCCATGACCTCAAGGAGGCTTCTCTGATTTGCAACTATCCATTGTGCGTACTCATCCTGTAAGAGTGGAAATCAAATTCACATCCACTTAAAGCTACAAATTAAAAAAGGGACTAACTTGATAGCAAAAGTATTTTTGGTAGATTTAAAACCTTTCCAGCAGGTGATGCAAGATGCCTTAGTCGATCAGCTTCAGTTGGATCAGTAGCATGAGCTGCTAAAGCCATTAAAGCAGACTGCAAAGCATATGCATTGCAACAATAAATTACTCAAATGCGACAAAAATCTCTACAAAATAAAATAAGAAATTCAATGATGCATCAACTTAAGAAAACAGCTAACCTTTTTGGGCGAATTCAAAAGATCAGCATATCGAGTCAGAGCAGATCTTAAGGTGGATGGTGGGAATGGAGGTGGCAAGCCGCTTCCACTAAGTGGTGTGCCATCCTCATTATCAGTATGGATAGTGAAGTAAGTATCTGGTGATAAACCCAACAACCGCAGTGCTTCCTCAACAACTTCACTTAGATTTTCACAGTACACACCAACATGGTCCCCGGTTCCATATCTGAGCAACAAAAAAAGGTTTATGAGGACACAATAAAGTGTTCAAACATAATCAGCGCACAATGTTCTCTTACAATTATTCCCCATGAAACTGCATTTGGATGCCAATTTCAAGGAGAAAACAACAAAGACATTGCAAACAACTTACGCAAGTCCAGTGCCAGATATGTCAAACTCCAAATGGGTACATGAACGACCAGAAGCAGGGGTATGAAGCTCCCTCCTCACAGCAACATTAGCCCTTCAGCAGTAAACAGATTACATTTTAGATCCAAAAAAACCTACTGAATCGTCACCAGAAAATCCACAAGAGGCACATTTTTATGATACCTGCATGGATGATGAGCATCATAAACAGCATGACCATTCACATTACTCCAGTTATCATCCTCTAAGGGTGCATCTTCAGGGTCATGAAATACAACCCGATATTCTGACACAGCAGCAGTATAAGGGGTAGAAACACCTGTTGGATCATCCCCATCAAGAAGCAACTGGTCCAACTCAGGCCACAACAATTCCCGCCTAAAATGCAAGCAGAAAAGAAGGGTAGCATGAGATCACTAGATATAAGAAAGTTCATTCTGTTCATGCTGAGCTGATTTGAGTTCTAAATACCATGCAGCGAAGTCATCTTCCATGCATTGATCATCATCCCCAAGACCCACTGGGACAAGGCGCTTCCCACCTAAAAAGGCAAAGTAAAGTTACGGAAAGAGAACATCAAAAACTGAGTCACTAAGCAGAAAGAACAATATCAATGAGCACATTTTGGCCTTGGAAAACCGTTTGATGATAATGAGGAACAACATCAAGGACCGCATTGTGGCACACAATTAATCATAAAAGCCTTTTAATTTTTTATTAACTATGCAGCTGGTTGGGTTTTCAAATTTTTTTTTTTTTTTTTTTTTTGAACAATTGAATCCGTTTGGAAAAAAGAGCTTCATATGCATCAGGACGCCTGGCAGACACTCTATTCAGCCGCGCAAGGAAACTGGCTACCATCAAAAGGTACATTGCCTTCATCAACCCACAAAAATTTTGCAAAATTATAGATGAATTAGCGATAAAAGATCCATATTGCAAAACAGTCATGTTTTCTTGAGTACTGGCAATTTTAAACATGCAATGCAACTCTTTGACTGTACACAACTTGAAAAGCATTTTCACAGTTTTATGGTAAGTGGAGCATGATTTACCCAGGCAATTTGCTAGGTTAACAAACAAACAAATAGTAACATGTGGTCTTCACAAGTACTAGTCTTGTATTTATGTTGACGGTTCACAAACACGTGTCAGTAAAATTTCATTGAATCACATTATTCAACTCTTAAGAAGTTTTATGCCATTAACAAAGCTTTATATTCATCTAGTGCCAAAACATTAGCAAGAAAAACACTTCAAATGCAAAAAATAATCTCTAAACAAGTTTCTCTATAACAAGGAGTAAAGAAACATGTAAGCATACCCTGGTCGGCAAGGATTTTATCCACCACAATAGCAATCTGTTCAACGAAACAAACATGTACACAAATGTTAATCAGCAAAAACAAATCCATCAGCTAATTGCGAAAGAAGGTATAAATAGTCACATTACGCACCTTGTTAAAATGCTCGTATTGCCTGTTGCCGAGGCCAAAAACTGCATATGGAAGGTCCTTAAGCCATTCCCCTTTCTCATTTCCCTAAACGCACACAATTATAAAACCAAAAACACTAATCAAATCCTGCTCTAACAGCAAAACAAATCAATACTTCCTGTAAAAACATCCAACCGAAACTTACCTCTGTAAACCATTTATAGAACCTCGCCGCATTATCGGTAGGCTCACCATCTCCATATCTAAACACCCCATAATCAAAAACAAATTAAACGACAAAAATTAAAGGAAAAAAAAAAGGAATTAAATAAGAAGAAGACAAATATCAAAATACTCACGTAGCCAAGAAGAAAAGAGCCAAAGACTCTTTCTTCAATTTCTCTTCGTATTCATCATCATCACCCGCATAATCATCCTATCATCCATCAGAATTAGCAATTCAAAAACATTAATAATAAAATAAAGCCCAATAAAAAAAAATTGTAAAACAGGTTTGGAAAAAAAAAAAAAAAGTCAACCATACCAAATCCACAGTTTTAAATACAGCCTTGTCATACCGAGCTTTTGCCTCATCAGCTAGAGCCTAAGCCAAAAAAATAATAGTAACAATGATCAAAAGAAAAGCTTAGTTCAACTAATCATGAACTAAAGCTGAATTCTCATACACGTGGAAGTTTCCCACATGTAGGGAGATGATTACAGTGTCAGCGTCACTCGAGACTAGACTGTTGATGGCATTACGGAAACTAATGTGTACCTTAGCAAATCCTTCGGCAGTACCGGTTTGGGTGCCGAAAAAGATGGTGACCTTTTTCTTGCTATCATCAACTTCAGGTTCAAGGTCTTTAACAATCAACGGCTTAGGTGGGACAGGAACTTTGGGCTTCTGATAACCAGATGATCTTCTCCAAATCAAAACGACAACGCAGCCGATCAAAACCGCGATGGAAGTAGTTAAGATCATAACAAACTCACGATTCTCAAGGATCAAAGTTGCCACCTCGGAAGCAGAAGCACCAGATTCCGAAACATTTGCTGGGTCCACTTTGCCTTTGATTATGGCTTGCATAATTTCAAGCGGTGACACTTTCATCGAGCTGGTTGATGATTGCATGTTTACCAAAAAAATAAACCAGAAAGCAAACTATTCTTCTTCAAGGAGGAAAAGAGATCTCTCTCTCTGCTTCTAGCTTGTTGCTTGGTTGGTGCGGTATGGGTGAGAGAGACGAGCAGAGAGAGTTCCCTAAGAGACGAAGGTAGGAGAGAAATGAGAGGGGATTAATAAAGGGTGGAGGGAGGTGCAACGCCTACCAAACCAGACTAGTCAAACTCACCTAACACGGATTTAACCATGGTTAAGACTTTCGTTTGAGTGGAAGGGTTTTTTTGGGCGGTTAATCTTAGATGGAGTTATGAAACGGTGAAGTTCTAAAATGCCCTTTTATGTCTTTTTGTTTCTCGGGAAAAAACTAGAAAATGAAAAAATTGTTAACCACCTCGTGTGGTTTTATTCATCGCATTTGCGAATAAATTATAAATTAGTCCCTTTCATTTTCCAAAACGATTTAATAGTCCTTTTAATTTCAAAATATAATTAACTAGTCCTTATATTATTAAATCTATTTATAACTTTTTTCTTTTTCAATTTATTTTATTTTTTAAATAGAAAAAGAAAAAAATAAGTAAAAAAATATGAAAAAAATATTTTTTAAAATAAAATAATATTAAATTAATTATGATCAATACTAATTAAAAAAATTTTTGATTAGATTTTGAAACAAAGAGATTATTTAATTCTTTTATAAAACTAGAAGGACTAATTTATAATTTACTCTGAGCCGGCCTTGAGATTTGAGATTTGGATCCAGATTTTTTAATGGAATAAATTAGTAGTTAAGGGTTGTTGGCGTAGAGAACCTATAATGGCGTCACTGTACTACTGCTGTCCTAGAAGTTTTTTTTTTTTCCCCTCTTTTACTGGATAATTACAATTACACTGTCGGTATATAATTTTTTGACATTTTTGTAATCAAGTACATGAGCTTTAGTTATTTCATTTTACACCATTTTCTTTTTAAATATCAATCAAATATTTTCATCAATTTTTATATTTTACAAGAGTTAAATACATCTCATGCGCTTATACTATTCAATAATATTTATTTTAATATTTTTATTCAAATAAAATGTATAACGAATATTATACTATTTGATATTGGTACAAACAATTCTTATGGTAACTCCTTCCATCGGACTGACCAAATTCTATATGTTAACTAACATTTTTCCATCCATGTGGCGGCACGTATCAACTAAAATAAGTTTTTTTCAAATTTGTTAACTTAAACAATTAATAAGTATAATAAAATTAAAAAATAATTGATTATTTTTTTCAATTTTTATTAAGTTAGAAGAATTAATAAAAAATTGACTTAATAATTTATTAATTATTTTAACTTAATAAAAATTTTAAAAAATTGATTAATTATTTTTTTCTTTTTTTATGATTGTAAAATACTTATTAGATATTTTAATTTAATAAAAATTAAAAAAATGATTTTAAAAGAAAATATATATTTTTATCGTTTAAGTGACACATGTCATCACGAGTGGTCGGACGTTAGTCAACTAACAAAATTCAATCAATTTGACAGAAAGAGTTAACGAAGAGGTTGATTTATATCAACATTTAATAGTACAAGATTTGTTATGCGCTATATATGAGTAAATGAATTAAAAATAAATATTATTGAATAGCATTGAGGCATTAGAGTGTATTTAATCCCATTTTATGATGATGTGCTTTGTCTAATTTGACAAGCTAACTTCAAAATTTAAAAAAAAAATTAAAGAAAAAATTATTTCTAAAATATCATTGAATTCAATTAAAAAAACTATTTTTTAATTAAGATTAATAGTTAAAAAAAATTACCACAATAAAAAAAACCTAGTTAAGATCAACTATTTGGATCCTTTCGTGTCATTTAGCAAAATCACAAAAAATAAAAATAAAAATAATAACGTAGGTAAAAATAATCCATTTGTTTCACAGATCACAATGTATCCATTGTTTTTATTAAGATAAAAAATATCATGATTGTATTAATAGTTTATTTATTAGTTTAATAATTATAGAATATATTTTAGTCTTGAGGTAGATAGCTTGTCTTTGAATAATACGAGAGAGATGAATTTAATCTCGATATCTAAAAACTAAATCAAAGTTATCATGTTATTGTAAAATAAAAATGGAAGATTTTTTCTAATTGATTTTTTTAGCCCAAATAAAAAGATCTATTATATTTTAAAAAAATAGTAAATACAATATTTTCTTTAAAGGAATTTCATTAAAAAAAAACTCCAAATTTAAATTTAGTTGGTCAAAGTCATCTTCTACTTCGTGAAGAAAACAAAAAAAATTGACGGAATTTAGATGAAAATATTTGCTTGACAGATTTAACAAGTCAATGTGCTCATACAAAAAAATATTTAAAATTAATATACTCGATTGAGAAAAGGTGAAGAATAGTTTACTAGAGTATAATTATCCCTTCACTTTAGTGACCATTGACCCATGACTAACTTAGGTGGTGTTTGATAAAACAAAAAATTAAGTGCTGAATCTATTAAGTACCGAATTTTAAGTAGTGAATAATTAAATACCGAATATGTTATTAACAAGTTGTTTGGTATTTACCGAAAATTAAGTGCTGAATATAATAAGCTTGTTTGATAAGTAATGTTACCGAAAATATTAAAGGTATATACATGGTAATTTTAACCTTATTCTTCTCTCGACGTTTTTCGAGGCTTTTTTATTTCATCATTTTGAGTTGAAATTGAAATTAGAGAATCAAACTCTAAATCAATAAATTCTTCAAAATTTGTTCCAATTGGTTCAATTGACATTGAAGAGCTCGCTTCATTTGCGTGCATGAATTTTTTAGAAGAATTTGAAAAGGCAACTCTATTTATAGGCATTGTGTCTTTAAAAGGATCCCAATCCTTTTTTTCAATGCTCGAAATGCCATCAAATAATGATTTCATCTAATTCAAAAATTCCAAACCAACATAACAAAATTATTTCGTGTTATTATTATTCTGTTATATAAATATATCAAATCAATAAATGATTAATTGCTAAAAGCTCTTCTAGGGAATGAAATGTATAAAAAAAAATAATTTCTCATAATCATCCCACTCTCGTGCGATCCAATTGATAGTATTATAAGAATCTATGAAAGATAGATCTTATCCAACATACAATCGCGTATTCCTCAAGAACATGTCCTTAAAGTACTGATCCCACTTCAACATTATTTGCACCGGTTATATATCTATCTTTTTTTTTTTTTTTTTTTTTTTTTTTTTTTTTTTACCTTGAGTAACTAGCTACATGTAAGAGTTTTTCCCCTATATAACCACCTACTCCATCTATGCATAATCATTTAGTGTAAAAGCTTCTATTACCTTTCAAATCTTCTTAGTTCAACAATCGTCTCTCCCCACCAAAGATACTTCAAAGGTAATGGGTATCGGCTTGTTGAATGCTAAGTAGATGGTGAGGCGTATTCTTTTGTCCCTATAAACAAGTAGTATAGTACCAAAAGGCCATTTTGTTGGGTATGTTGGAAAAGTTCAAAAGAGATGTGTTGTTCTCGTCTCATACTTGAAGAACCCTTAATTTAAAAGGTTGCTTACCCATATTGAAGAAGAGTACGGCTTTAATCATCCAAGTGGGAGGTCTCACCATTCCATACAATGAAGAAGTCTTCCACGATCTCACGAGCTTACAATTAATTTTTAGATCTCGCAGTTTAGATCAAAGCAAATTAATCGAGTCGTGCTATAGATCCTATATATATTTGGTTTTTCAATCGATTTGTATAGTTAGGGTTATAAGAATATATAAGGGTGATATAGTCATATTTGAAAAGTTTTAAAAATCTTTCAACTAAGTGTTTTGATCAAAAAGTAATAAGTTAAAAACTTTAACTTACCTAATTAAGTAGATTGTGACTCGAATTTAAATTTTTAATGTGAGATTATTTAGATTATCAAATAAACTTTTTATATTAAGTACTACAACTTAATTTATTAAGTTACTTAAATAGGTTATCAAACATTCTCTTAACTCGTGATTGTATTAAAATTAAATATATAGTTACTTTAATTAAATCCGATCTTCTTACATGATAATTAAAAAAAAAAAAGAGGAAGAAGAAGAAGAAAAACTTCGATTATTAAAAGAAACCTCAACCAGATTATCGATAACAATTTAAATAATTCTTCTTAAGATTTTGTGGTCGATTATTGCTACATCAACACTTAATGAATTGTTAACAATAAGAGAAGTCCGTCAATTGATTTGCAAAATAGTTGGAATATACTTCTTACAATTAAGTAAAAAAAATATGCTAATGCTAGTCCAACTGCTTTCCTTCAAATGATCATAACATTATAATTTGGACTTATTTGATGCCACTAAGATATCAAGGGAAAAATCGTTTGCAAGACTTTTTATTATGGAGAGTAAATTATAAATTAGTCCCTCTTATTTCAAAAACTAATTATCTAGTCTTGTGCTATTTTCAATTTATTTTGATTTTTTATTTTAAAAATAGAAAAAAATTAAAAATAAGTAAAAACATGAAAAGATTGATGAAAAAAAAACATTTTATAAAACAAATGTTAAATTAGTCTTGATCAACACTAGTTTAAAAAAAAATTAGCTTTTGAAATTAGAAAGACTAATTAATTTATCTATCGAAACCAAAGAGATTAATTTATAATTTAATCTTATTATGGGACTTCTTGTGAAGCTAGAGCATGCCCTTTTAGATCAAAATCCTTAATGTGCATTTTCAAACTATTTAAGTGTTGTTTGGTAACAAGAAATAAAATGGTGAGAACTAAAATAAAAGTTTAATTTTTATTTTCTACGTGATTAGCTGAAAAGAACAAAGAAAAAAATGAGAATGAAAAATAAAAATAGAGTTAGTTTTATTCTTATTGGGAGGTGGGAATAAAAACAAAGGAAAAAAAAAAGAGAGAATGAGATTTTCTTTTCTTCAAAATATTGATATGTTATTT